GTGCACGGCGGACAAGGAGCACAACTGGCGGCAGTGCTCGGCGCTGGTGCGGCGCGCGGCGGCCGCGGGGGCCCGCGCCGTGTTCCTGCCCGAGGCCTTCGACTTCATCGGGGACAGTCCCCAGCACAGCCTGGCGCTGGCAGAGCCACTGCACGGGGACACCGTGGGGCGCTACCGCCAGCTGGCCAGGTACGGGCACCGGGTGGCACCGTGTGGCACCAGGGATGTCACCGTGTGGCACCAGGGGATGTGAGCATGTGTACCCAGGGAATGTCACTGTGTGTACCCAGGGGATGTGATTTTGTGTCCCTTGGGGATGTCACTGTGTGTCCTCAGGGAATGTCACTGTGTGTCTTCAGGGGATGTCACTCTGTGTCACCAGGGAGTGTGAGCATGTGTACCCAGGGATGTCACTGTGTGGCACCAGGGAGTGTGAGCATATGTACGCAGGGGATGGCACCTGTGTGTACCCAGGGATGTCACCGTGTGTCACCAGGGAATGTCACTGTGTGTCCCCAGGGAATGTGAGCATGAGGTACGGGCACCGGGTGGCACCGTGTGGCACCAGGGATGTCACCGTGTGGCACCAGGGAATGTGAGCGTGTGGCACCAGGGATGTCACCGTGTGGCACCAGGGAATGTGAGCGTGTGGCACCAGGGATGTCACCGTGTGGCACCAGGGGATGTGAGCATGTGTACCCAGGGAATGTCACTGTGTGTACCCAGGGGATGTGATTTTGTGTCCCTTGGGGATGTCATTGTGTGTCTTCAGGGGATGTCACTCTGTGTCACCAGGGAGTGTGAGCATGTGTACCCAGGGGATGGCACCTGTGTGTACCCAGGGATGTCACCGTGTGTCACCAGGGAATGTCACTGTGTGTCCCCAGGGAATGTGAGCATGTGTACCCAGGGAATGTCACTGTGTGTCCCCAGGCCCTGTCACTGTGTGTCCCCAGGCCGTGTCCCTCTGTGTCCCCAGGCCATGTCACTGTGTGTCCCTCTGTGTCCCCAGGCCATGTCACTGCATGTCCCCAGGCCGTGTCCCTCTGTGTCCCCAGGGAATGTGACGTGTGGCTCTCCCTCGGTGGCTTCCACGAGCGTGGCGAGGACTGGGACAGCACCGGCCGGATCTACAACTGTCACCTGCTGCTGGACAACTCGGGTGGGACACGGCCTTCCTGAGCCCCGTGCCACCCCCGTGTCCCCCAGATCCCCAGTCCCTGTGTCCCCGACATTCCCAACCCTTGGATGTCCCTGTGTCCCCATGTCCCCACCACTCCCATCCCCTTTGGCTGTCCCCAGGTGTGGTGGCCGCCTACCTGCACCATTCCCACCCCCTGGCTGTCCCCACTGTCCCTGCTGTCCCTGACTGAACCCAGTGTCCCCAACCCCTGCTGTGGCTGTCCCCAGCCCTGGTGGTGGCTGTCCCCAGGCACACTGGTGGCCATGTACCTGCACCATTCCCAATCCCCATGGCTGTCCCTGACTGAACCTAGTGTCCCCAACCCACCGCATACCCGCACCATTCCCAGTCGCCATGGCTGTTCTTGCTGTCCCTGACTGAACCCAGTGTCCCCAACCCCCGTGGCTGTCCCCACTGTCTCCAGCCCTGGTGGTGGCTGTCCCCAGTGTCCCCAACCCCATGGTGGCTGTCCCCAGGCGCGCTGTTAACCGCATACCCGCACCATTCCCAATCGCCATGGCTGTTCTTGCTGTCCCTGACTGAACCCAGTGTCCCCAACCCCCGTGGCTGTCCCCAGTGTCCCCAGCCCTGGTGGTGGCTGTCCCCAGTGTCCCCAACCCCATGGTGGCTGTCCCCAGGCGCGCTGGTGGCCGCGTACCGCAAGCTGCACCTGTTTGACGCGGCGCTGCCGGGGGCGCCGGCGCTGTGCGAGAGCTCCTTCACCAACCCTGGCCGGGAGCTGCTGCCCCCCATCGACACCCCCGTGGGCAAGGTACGGCCCTGCCCCTGTCCCCTGCTGTCCCCATGTGTCCCCTGCCTTCACTGATCCCCGGTATTCCCAGAGAAACCCGGCGTTGGCCGTGTGTCACAGCCTGTGGTACCCAGAGCTGGCCCTGCCCCAATCCTAACCCAGCCCTAAGCCCAACCCCTGACCCCACAATGCCCAGGGCTGTCCCAGGGTGTCCCCAAGTGTCCCTGGGTGTCCCAGGGTGTCCCTGCTTGTCCCCAGGGTGTCCTTGGGTGTCCGCTGCCCTCGCTGACCCCTGGTATTCCCAGAAAAAGCTGGGATTGGCCGAGTGCTGTGGCCTGTGGGTCCTGGAGCTGGCCCTGTCCTGACCCTCACCCCTGACCCCCCATGGCCCCAGAGTGTCCCAGGGTGTCCCCAGCTGTCCCCAATGTCCCCTCACCGTGTCCCCCCAGCTGGGGCTGGCCGTGTGCTATGACCTGCGTTTCCCGGAGCTGGCCCCATGCTCAGGACTGTCCCCAATGTCCCCTCACTGTCCCCCCAGCTGGGGCTGGCCGTGTGCTATGACCTGCGTTTCCCGGAGCTGGCCCAGGCCCTGCGCGGGGCCGGTGCCCAAATCCTGACCTTCCCCTCGGCCTTCACCGTCCCCACCGGAGCTGCACACTGGGAGGTGAGGGGACACCCCTGGGGGGGGCTGGGGACACCCTGGGGGCTGAGGACATCCCCTGGGGGGGCTGGGGACACCCTGTGGGGAGTGGGGACATCCCCTGGGGGCCTTGGGGACACCCTGTGGGGAGTGGGGACATCCCCTGGGGGCCTTGGGGACACCCTGGGGGACTGGGGACATCCCCTGGGGGCCTTGGGGACACCCTGGGGGACTGGGGACATCCCCTGGGGGCCTTGGGGACTCCCCTGCCCCTCGGTCTCCCGTTCCTCCCCGTGCCCCCCATGTCCCCCTCGGTGACACTGCTGTCCCCTCAGGTGCTGCTGTGTGCCTGTGCCCCCTGTGCCCCCCACGTCCCCCTCAGTGACACTGCTGTCCCCTCAGGTGCTGCTGCGTGCCCGTGCCATCGAGTGCCAGTGCTACGTGGTGGCCGCGGCTCAGACCGGCCGGCACAACGCCAGCCGCGCGTCCTTCGGCCACTCGCTGGTGGCCGATCCCTGGGGCGCCGTGGTGGCCCAGTGCCACGAGGGGCCGGGGCTGTGCCTGGCCCACATCGACCTGGCCTACCTGGAGCAGGTGCGCAGGGACCTGCCCGTGCACGGCCACCGCCGTGGGGACATCTACGGGACCCTGCCGGGGACACCGGGGACACCGGGGACGTGACGGCGCCGGCTTGGGCCAAACCCAGCTGGAATTTGCACCGGGTTTGCTTTTCTGTCTCCAACATGGAATGGCACAACGTGTCCCCCCTTTCTCTTCGTGGGTGCCAAATTTCCATCAACTCAGCCTCAAATCAGTCCCAAATCTGCAACAATTCAGCCCCCAATTTAGAATTCCACAATGTGTCCCCCCTTTCTTTATTGGGGGTCCCAAATCAGTCCCAAATCTGCATTAATTCAGCCCCAAATCAGTCCCAAATCTGCCCTTTTTCTCCCCAAAATTGAATGGCACAATGTGTCCTCCCTGCTCTCTTTTTAGGGTCCCCAATCTTTTTTGGGGTCCCAATTCAGCCCCAAATTTGCTCCAATTCTGCATCAGCTTAGTCCAAAATTGACCCTAAATCTGCCCCAAATCTGCCCTAATTCACCCCAAAATCTGCATCAACTCAACCCCAAATCTTCCCCAATTCACCCCAAATCAGCTCAAATTTGCACTGAATCAGCACTTTTGTCCCCAAAAGGGATTTCTGCTTTTTGGGGGGGTTGCTCCTTTTTTTTTGGGGGTGGGGGGGAGGTTCTGGGGGGAGGAATTTCTTTTTATTGAAATTTGAAAAATACAAAAAATCCCAGGAAATGACCCCAAAGCGTGGAGGAATTTTGGGATGGGAGGGATTGGGGACAACCCTGAAACCCCCAAGTGCTGGGTGGGAATGGGGGAAAAAACAAGGAAAATGGGAAAAAACTCCATCCCTGTCAGGTTTTGGGGGAAAATGGGGATTTTGGGGAGGAAAATGGGAATTTTGGGGGAAATTGCCATTTGCTTTTCGTCGTTTTTAATGGATATAAAAGAGGGGAAAAAACATGGAAAACACAAGGAGGAATTTGATAAGGAAAATGAGGAATTGAGGGGGAAATTGAGGAATTCCGGAATATTCCACACCCCCCAATCCCAGCGTGTCGCACCAATGGGATTTTTGCCTTTTCATCACCATTTTTAATGGATAAAAAAGAAAGGAAAATAGGGAAAAACGTGGAAAACACAAGGAGAATGAGGAATTGACAGGGAAAAGTGAGGAATTCTGGAATATTCCGCACCCCCAATCCCCAAATCCCAGCGTGTCGCACCAATGGGATTTTTGCCTTTTCATCACCATTTTTAATGGATACAAAAGAAAAGAAAATAGGGGAAAAACATGGAAAACACCAGGAGAACCCATCAGGAGCCCCAAAAGCACCAAATCCTGGAATATCCCACGCCTCCAAGCCGGAATATTCCGTTGTTCCAGGGCTTCCCACGCCTCAAATCCCCAATTCCAACTGCGCCGCACCAATGGGGCTGTTGCCTTTTTCTCACCATTTTTAATGGATAAAAAAGAAAGGAAAATAGGGAAAAAACATGGAAAACACAAGAAGAATGAGGAATTGACAGGGAAAAACGAGGAATTCTGGAATATTCCCCCTGAAACCCCCAAGTGCTGGGTGGGAATGGGGGAAAAAACAAGGAAAATGGGAAAAAACTCCATCCCTGTCAGGTTTTGGGGGAAAATGGGGATTTTGGGGAGGAAAATGGGAATTTTGGGGGAAATTGCCATTTGCTTTTCGTCGTTTTTAATGGATATAAAAAAGGGGAAAAAAACATGGAAAACACAAGGAGAAATTTGATAAGGAAAATGAGGAATTGAGGGGGAAATTGAGGAATTCTGGAATATTCCACACCCCCCAATCCCAGCGTGTCGCACCAATGGGATCTTTGCCTTTTCATCACCATTTTTAATGGATACAAAAGAAAGGAAAATAGGGGAAAACATGGAAAACACAAGGAGGAACTGACAGGGAAAAGTGAGGAATTCTGGAATATTCCGCACCCCCCAATCCCAGCGTGTCGCACCAATGGGATCTTTGCCTTTTCATCACCATTTTTAATGGATACAAAAGAAAAAACAGGAGGGGAAACCCCACGGAAAACACAAGGAGAACCCATCAGGACCCCCAAAAATCGCCGAATCCCGGAATCCCCCACACCTCCACCCCTCCCCAAATCCGTGAGCGGGCTCCGCGGAAGAATCGGGGGGGGGAAAAAAAACGAAAAAATCCCGGAAAAAAAAACAAAACAAAAAAAAAAACAACCAAAAATAAACACCCCAAAAACTGGGGGGGGTGGATCCCTCAGGGAGCCGTGTGGAGCATCAAGTTCCTGAGGAGTTTCTGGCGGCCCAGCTCGTAATCCTCCTCGTCCACGTTGACCAGCAGCTTGATGGCCTCGTGGCCCACGGCCTGTTTGAGCGAGTCCGTGATGAAGACGCCCTTGAGGGCCTCCAGGAGGGAGCCGTTGATGTAATCCCGCCAGAAGGCGTCGAGGTAGGTGAGCTCCGAGAATTTGATGTCGCAGATGATGGAGCCCAAATCCCGGGATTTCAGGATGGTGTTGGCCTGGTTGAAGCGCTCGAACTGGCGCTCCAGAGGGTCCTGCTTGTTGGAGAAGACGTTGCCGTGCAGGGCGGAGTCGTGCTGGCAGTACTCGGCGCGCACGCGCAGGCGGATGTCTGGTTTTGGGGGGGAAACGCCGATCCCAAATCCCCTCTCACCGCAGGTCTGTTTCTCCCTGGGGATCCCAATCCCCTATTCCCAATCCCAAATCCTGATCCCAAATCCCCTCTCACCGCAGTCTGTTTCTCCTTGGGGATCCCGTTCCCAATCCCAATCCCAAATCCCCGATCCCAAATCCCGATCCCAAATCCCCTCTCACCGCAGTCTGTTTCTCCTTGGGGATCCCGTTCCCAATCCCAATCCCCCATTCCCAATCCCATATTCCCAATCCCAAATCCCGATCCCAAATCCCCTCTCACCGCAGGTCTGTTTCTCCTTGGGGTCGGGGGTCGCTGACTTCCTGCGTTTCCGTTGGCTCCCGAGGAGGCTCCGGGCCCGGCCCGGGCGCTTGGGGCCCAGCTGGGGCCCCCCGGGGGGGCAGCACAGCGACGGGTGGGGGGCAGGCACTGGGGACAGGGGGCACAGATGGGTCAGGGACCCCAAATCCAACCCCAGAGACCCCAAATCCATCCAGTAGGTCTGGGCACAGCCCCCCAAACCCAGAGCCCTGAGAGGCTCCAGGGTCGGGAACTTTGGGATGATCCCAAGGAGGTGGTGACCCCAAATAGGAGAGATGATCCCAAGGGGGGGGAAGATCCCAAATGAGGTGGAGATCCCAAAAGAGGGTGATGATCCCAAGTGACCCCAAAGGGTGACAGTGATCCCAAATGGGGGTGACAATGACCCCAAAGGGTGACAGTGATCCCAAATGGGGGTGACAGTGACCCCAAGGGGTCCCTACCTGATTTGTGGGGGTGGCCGAGGCCGGGCGGGGTCCCCCCGGGCGTGCGGGGGGTGACGTAGCGGATGGACGTCTCCTCCAGGTACTTGTCCACCAGGTCCGGGCACACTGGGAACGGGAATGTCACGGGAACGTCACGGGAACGTCACGGGAATGTCACGGGGATGGCACCGGGATGGTGTGACCCCAATAGCCCCATACACTGTGGCAGTGACCCCGTATATCACCATGGTGACCTCATCTGTTGCTATGGTGACTCCGTATATCGCGATATATCGGGACATACGGCAACACTCACTCGGGTGCTGTCCCTTGAGGCCGATGCAGGGCAGCAGGTCATGGTGGGTGATGGTGTGACCCCCCAATACTCCAATACCACCCCGTATATCGCGACAGTGACCCTGTATATCGCGACATATCGTGCCAGGCACTCACTGGGTGCCATCTCTTGAGGCTGATGCAGGGCAGCAGGTCGTGGCGGGTGATGATGTCACCCCAATATCCCCATATACCGTAACAGTGACCCCATATATCACGATATATCACGATGTATCGTGACAGACGCTTACTGGGGCACCATCTCTTGAGGCTGATGTACGGCGGCAGGTCGTGGCGGGTGACGATGTCACCCCAATAGCCCCATACACTGTGACAGTAACCCCGTATATCACGACATATCGCGACATATCGCGACAGACACTCACCGGGGCGCTGTCTCTTGAGGCTGATGCAGGGCAGGAGGTCATGGCGGGTGATGATGTCACCCCAATAGCCCCATATACCGTGACAGTGACCCCATATATCGCGATATATCACGACATATCACGACAGATGCTCACTGGGGCACCATCTCTTGAGGCTGACGTAGGGCAGCAGGTCGTGGCGGGGGATGATGTCACCCCAATAGCCCCATATACCGTGACAGTGACCCCATATATCGCGATATATCACGACATATCGCGACATATCGCGACATATCGCGACATATCGCGACATATCGCGACATATCGCGACATATCGCGACATATCGCGACATATCGCGACATATCGCGACATATCGCGACATATCGCGACATATCGCGACATATCGCGACATATCGCGACATATCGCGACATATCGCGACAGGCACTCACCGGGGCACCGTCTCTTGAGGCTGACGTAGGGCAGCAGGTCGTGGCGGGTGATGATGCGCAGCAGCTGCAGCAGCTGCCGCAGGTTGCTCTCGTCGCAGCGGCCCTGGCGCTCCAGGGCCAGCAGGAAGTCGCGGCCGGAGCGGATGCGGCCGCGCTCGGCCTCGTCCAGCACGTCCACGAAGAGGAAGGAGAGCACGCGCACGTCGCGGTGCGTCAGCTGCGCGCCCACGATGTCGAACATGCGGTGCAGCGAGTACAGCCCCTGCTCGCGCTCGCCCGGCTCCTCGGGCCACGGCACCGACCCCGTGCCACCGCCGGCACTGCCACCGCCGGCGCCGCGCTTCCGGCCCGCCATGGGCACCTGGGGACAATGGGACACGAGGTCAGTGAGACATGGCACTACTGGCACTGCCATGCTTCCGGCCCGCCATGGGCACCTGGGGACAATGGGACACGAGGTCAGCGGGACATGGCACTACTGGCACTGCCATGCTTCCGGCCTGTCACGGGCACGTGGGGACACGGGGACAATGGGACACGGGGTCAGTGGGACTTGGCACTACTGGCACTGCCAGCGCCGCGCTTCCGGCCCGTCATGGGCACCTGGGGACAATGGGGACAATGGGACACGGGGTCAGACAAAGGGACAATGGGACACGGGGTCAGCGGGACATGGCACTACTGGCACTGTCATTGCCATGCTTCCAGTCCGCCATGGGCACCTGGGGACACGGGGACAATGGGACACGGGGTCAGACAAAGGGACAATGGGACACGGGGTCAGCGGGACTTGGCACTACTGCCACTGCCATGCTTCCGGCCCATCATGGGCACCTGGGGACATGGGGACAATGGGACACGAGGTCAGTGAGACATGGCACTACTGGCACTGTCACTGCCACACTTCCGGCCCGCCGTGGGGACACGGGGACAATGGGACACGGGGTCAGTGGGACTTGGCACTACTGGCACTGCCAGCGCCGCGCTTCCGGCCCGTCATGGGCACCTGGGGACAATGGGGACAATGGGACACGGGGTCAGACAAAGGGACAATGGGACACGGGGTCAGCGGGACATGGCACTACTGGCACTGTCATTGCCATGCTTCCAGTCCGCCATGGGCACCTGGGGACACGGGGACAATGGGACATGGGGTCAGTGGGACATGGGGTCAGTAGGACTTGGCACTACTGGCACTGTCACTGCCACACTTCCGGCCCGCCGTGGGGACACGGGGACAATGGGACACGGGGTCAGTACAGAGGGGATCCAAAACTGACCCTGGACCGCTGGCACTGCCATCCTGTGGGATCCCAACCCCAATCCTGGGGATTTTCCATCAGGATCCCGACCCCAATCCCAGGGATTTTCCATTGGAATCCACTCAGGATCCTGACCCCAATCCTGGGGTTTGCACCAGGATCCCAACCCCACTCCCCAGGATTTTCCAGTGGGATCCTAACCCCAGTCCTGGGGATTTTCCATTGGAATCCACTCAGGATCCCAACCCCAATCCCAGTGATTTTCCATTGGAATCCACTCAGGATCCTGACCCCAATCCCAGGGATTTTCCATTGGAATCCACTCAGGATCCCAACCCCAATCCCAGGGATTTTCCATCAGAATCCCGACCCCAATCCCAGGGATTTTCCATTGGAATCCACTCAGGATCCCGACCCCAATCCCAGGGATTTTCCATCAGAATCCCGACTCCAATCCCAGGATTTTCCATCAGGACCCCCACCCCAATCCCAGGGGTTTTCCTGGGGGTTCCCAACCCCAATCTCTGTGTTTTTCCATCAGGACCCCCACCCCAATCCCAGGGGTTTCCCTGTGGGATCCCAATCGCAAACCTGGGGTTTTCCATCAGGATCCCGACCCCAACCTCTGTGTTTTTCCACCCGAATCCCAACCCCAATCCCAGGATTCTCCTCAGGACCCAGCCCTGTCCCCGCTCCGGCCTTTCCCTGGATACAATCTCCCAAACAAAGGGAAAACATCGGGATGGGGACAGGAACCCCCCACCCACCCCCAATTCCCAGCACGGCCGTGCCAGGCTCCTCTCCAAGGAGGAAATTCCCAGAAATCCCTGGAAAAAAAACAACCTGGCCCCAGCTCCAGGGGGGAAAACAGGAATGGGAAGCACCTGGTGCCACGATCCTGCTTTTTTTAGGGAATTTTCCTTAAAATGTCTCCTTTTTCCCTGAATTTGGGTGGTGAATTGTAAAAAAATTGGGAAAAGTTCTTGGATTTGTCAGCACCAACCCCCCTGGAATGATCCTGGATGGTTTTCCTCCTGTGGAAGCCAGAAAAAAAGCTGGAATTTGTTGTTGTGCTCCCTGAAAATCCAAAGAAATGTGGGAAATTCTTTCTTTCCCAAAGAAATCTGGGAAAAATGAGGTTTTATGAAAGTGTTGACCCCTGGAAAAGGGGAATGTTGGGGATTAAACTTCAAAAAAAATCCCCAAAAATTGTTGAATTCACTTCCAAGCAGGGAATTTTGAAGATTCCCGTGGTTCCCAAAATCCTGAAATCCCAAAATCCACAGGGGTGGGAGGCAGAAATCCCAAAAATCCGTGGATTTTCCTCAGAAAGGAGCAGGAAAATCCCCCAGAAAAACACAAGGATCCCGAAATCCCTTGGAAAATCCCTCCCACCCCATTCTGGAGGCTTTTCCCAGGAAGAGAATTCCGGGAGCATTCAAATAATTTCGGGATAAACGGGAAAAACGAGTTCCTGGAGCTTCCCAGGGCTCAGCCCCGTGGGATCCCTGTGGATATTTTGGGATTTTTCCCACTAAATCCAGACCAAAAACGTCAGAATTCCAAATTATCCCAAAAAATCCCAACCTGGGTGGGGAGAAAAGGCCCAAATCCCGATTTTTAGGTGAATTTTCCGGGGGAAATGGACACGAGGGAGACTCCAGGTGAATTTTCCCCCCCTCAGTTCCCGGGGATAGGAACAATTCCCAAAAACTGGGGAAAAATCCACAAAAATTTGGATTAATCCCGAATTTTCCTCTTTTTTCTGATGAATTCCCCCTTCTAAATCCAGCGGGAATTCCCAAAAATCCATTCCCAGCCCCAATAAATTGGATTTTTGGGAAGAAGAGGAGCTCCAGAGGCTGAGGAGGAGGAGGAGGAAGCTCCTGACAGAATATCCCACGGAAAACCGGCTCTTCCAGGGGCGGCCATTCGGGAATTTGGGAATTCCCAGCCCTGGAACCAGCTGGGAACGTGGGAATTTAATTCCTGAGCCTCTCCAGATCCTCCCCCAGATTCCCTGGATCCATCAGGATCTTCTGGATCCATCCCAAACCTCTCCAGATCCATCAGGATCTTCTGGATCCATCCCAGGATCCATCCCAGACCTCTCCAGATCCATCAGGATCTTCTGGATCCATCCCTGGATCCATCCTGAACCTCTCCAGATCCATCAGGAGCTTCTGGATCCATCCTGAACCTCTCCAGCTCCATCAGGACCCTCTGGATCCATCCTGACCTTCCTTAGATCCACCCTGAGGCCTCTGGATCCATCCTGAACTTCTCCAGATCTATCAGGACCCTCTTGATCTCTCTCTGGATCCATCCCGAGCCTCTCCAGCTCCATCAGGAGCCTCTGGATCCACCCCTGGATCCATCCCAAACCCCTTTAGATCCATCAGGATCCTCTGGATCCACCCTGAACCTCTCTGGATCCATCTTGAACCTCTCCAGCTCCATCAGGACCCTCTGGATCCATCCCAAACCCCTTCAGATCCATCCTGAACCTCTCTGGATCCATCCCAAACCCCTTTAGATCCATCCCAAACCCCTCAGATCCATCCTAAACCTCTCTGGATCCATCCCAAACCCCTTCAGATCCATCCCGACCCTCTCCAGCTCCACCAGGACCTTCCCTGGGTCCCTCCCCCGGATAAATCCCAAATCCGAGCCCAGAGCAGCCCCGGACCCACCTCAGCCGTGCCCGATCCCGGCTCCCGGGCGTTCTCAGCGATCTTCGATCCCTTTTTTCCTTCTTGATTTTCCTTTCCAAGAAATCTCCCCCCCCAAAAAAAAAACAAAAACCCAAAAAAATCCCAAAGTTCCAGAGGCCGGGATCGCTGTCAGTCCTTGCCGGAAAACTCCGGATTTTATCCCCCCTACCCCCCCCAAAAAAAACCCCTTTTTTAAATTATTTTTAATTTCCTAATTAATAATTTATCGAGGAAAAGCCAAGCGCGGCGTTGCCCTTAAGTCATTCCCGGTTCCAGGGCGAGCATTCCCGAGGCAGGAATTCCCTGGATCGCGGATTTCGCTCGCTCAAAGCAAAAACCGCGATAAAAAACCCAAAAAAAACTCGCTCGGTTGAAGAAATCCTTGGAATTTCATCCCGCTCCTGCTGCGCCTCAAATCCCGGGATTTTCTGACCCTCGGGAAGAGCCGAAATCCCGGAAAAAAACCGGGAAAAGCGCCGTTAAATAAACAAAAATTTTAAAATAATTAAAAAAAAAAACCAAACAAAACAAAAAAAACTCCGATTTTGCCGCGATTTCGGCTGAAATCGGCCCCAAATTTCAACGAGAAAGAACCAAAACCGGGGGCACCGGGGGGCCCTCCCCGTTAAAGGCCCTTAAAGCCCCGGTTCAGCCCCGGAGGCCTCGGGAAGGGCCCGGTTCGAACCCAAAAAGCTCCGCTCAAGGCCGCAAACGGCGCCGACGAGCCCCGGGGAGGCCCCAAACGGCCCCGCCGAGCCCCGAAAGGCCGCGGGGAGGCCCCGGTAAGGCCGCAAAAGGCCCCGAGCAGGCCCCGCGTCTCTCCCGGGGAGGCTCCGGTCAGACCCCGGGGAGGCTCCGGCGGCGGCAGCGTCGCGAGGAGCGGCGGGGGGAGCGGCGGGGCCCCCCCTGCGGCCCGTCCCAGCCCGCCGAGCGCGGGGGCCCCTCCCGGCCCCTCACGGCCCCTCAGGGCCGGCCCAGCCCCGGCGCCGCCATCTTGGCTCCGTCCGCTCCGCTCCCCGCTCCCCGCGGGCGGCTCCGCCCTGACGCAACTTCCGGCAGGTCGAGGCCACGCCCCCTTTCCCGCCGTGGAGCCGCGCCCACATCCGGGCACCCGCGCGCCCCTGCGGCTTCACGCCTATAGGGAAAAACGGGGAGGGCGGCGCCATGTTGGGTGAGGGCAATGTGGCGGCTACATACGGGTTACGGCAGTTGGCTTCAGCGCTATTGGTTAGCATGGGGCGGGCGCCATCTTGAGTGAGGGCAGCCTGGCAGCGCGGGGCCGCGTGGCGGCGCGGGCGCCATCTTGAAAAATGTGAGGCGGAGGCGCCGCCATCTTAACTGAGGGCACCAAGGGGGTCCCGGGGTGGGAGTTTGAGGACATTTTGAAGATTTTGTGGTGTTTTTTGGGTTTTTTTGGGAGTGAAGGAAAGGGGTGAGGAGGGAAGGGTGAGGATGGGGGCAGGGAGGGAGGGCAGAGCGGTGGGGTGGGGCTGATTGAGGGGGGCTGCGCGGGGGGATGAGGGGGACAATGTGGGGTGAGGACAACGGGAGGGGCACGGCGGCAGTGCGGGAGGAGGAGGAGCCCGTCCTGAGGGCGGGGGGACACCTTGGCGACAATTGGGGGGGGGGGGGGGGGGGGGGGGCAGTGCCACCCCCTGGCCCCGAGCGCTCCCCGCCCCCACCCACGGGTGGGGCCTTTCACCTTCGCCCCTGCCTGGGTGGGGAAACTGAGGCAGGGCCGGGGTTTGTGGGGGTGACCTGGGTGTGTCCCCCCCCCCCTCACCCTCAGTGTCCCCTCCCCCGCTCGGCTGCCCCGGGGCGCGGCAATTAGCGATTGTAATTGTAATTAGTGTCATTAGCGCGGCACGCGCCACCGCGGCGCCGGGCCCTGAACGGGGCGGGGGGGGGGAACCTCGCCCGGGTGGGGGTCCCGGGTGGTCCCCGATGTCCCGGGAGGTGTCCCGGGGGTCCCGAGGGTGTCCCCGCTCTCCCGGGTGGGGGTCCCGGTGTGTCCCGGGAGTGTCCCCGCTGTCCCGGGTGGGGGTCCTGGTGTGTCCCGGGGGTGTCCCCGCTCTCCCGGGTGGGGGTCCCCCCCGCGCCCCCCGGCCCGGCCCGCCCCCGCCGTGCCTATCCCGGACCGGACCGCGCCCCGGCACTGCCCGCACCGCCACCGGCACCGAGCACGGCCACCGAGCACCGCGCGGTGAGTGAGAGCGGCACCCCCGCCCGGGAACGGGAACGGGGGGTCGGCCCCGCACCCCAAAAATGGGGAACCCCATCCCCAAATCCCGGTTTGGGGTCACCCCGCCCGGTAACGGGAACGGGAGCTCCGTCCTGCACCCCAAAATGGGGAACCCCATCCTTAAATCCCGCTTTGGGGTCACCCCGCCCGGTAACGGAAACGGGGGATCGGTCCCGCACCCCAAAAATGGAAAACCCCATCCCCCAATCCCGGTTTGGGGTCTAAATCCCGGTTTGGGGTCCTCTGCCCGGTAACGGGAACGGGGGGTCGGTCCCGCACCCCAAAATGCGGAACCCCATCCCCAAATCCCGTTTTGGGGTCCCCCTCCTGGCCCCGGTACCGGGGACCCCATCCCGGTGTCCGTTTTTGGGGGGGCTCCATCCCCAAACCCCATTTTGGGGGATCAATCCTGTCCCCAAAATTTGGGGTCCCGCGCCCCGATTTTGGGGGGGAATTTTGAGCATCACTGCGGGGAACCCCATCCCTGTCCCCCACTTTGGGGGTCTCCATCCCCAAACCCCCTTTTTGGGGGGGTCTCACCCTTTGGGGGGGTCCCACGGGGGGGTCCCACCCTTTTGGGAAGTTCACTTTTGGGGCGGTTCCATCTTTTTTTGGGGTTCCCCCTTCTTGGGGTGTTTCCCCTTTTCTGGGGGTCACTTTTGTGGGGGGGGTCTCCTTTTTTGGGGTGCTTCCCTTTTTTTCGGGGGATTCCCCCTTTTGGGGGTGTTCCTCCTTTTTTGGGGGTCACTTTTAGGGTGTCTCCCCCTTTTTTGGGGTGGGGTCATTTTGGGAGTTCCTCCTTTTTTTGGAGATTCCTTTTTTGGGGGGGGATTCTCCTTTTTGGGGGGGCTTCCTCCTTTTTGGGGGGATTCCTCCTGTTTCGGGCGGTTCCCGTTTTTTTGCAAATCTTCCTCTTTTTCCGGGATCACTTTTAGGGAGGTTCCCTCATTTTTTGGGTTTTTTCTTTGGTTTTTTTTTTTGATTTTTCGGGGGGTGGGGAAACTGAGGCGGGTCCCCCTTTGGGGGGTCCAGGAGGAATTTTTGGGGGATCCAGGAGGGAATTTGGGGGTTCCAGGAGGAATTTTTGGGGGCTCGGGGAATTTGGGAGATCCCATTGGGAATTCGGGTTTCCCGTTGGGGATTTTGGGTTCCCATTGGAAATTTGGGGTTCCCAGCAGGAATTTTGGGGTTCCCAGCAGGAATTTGGGGTTCCCATCAGGAGTTTTAAGGATCCCACTGGGATTTTTTTGGGTTTCCCAGCAGTAATTTAGGTTTCCCGTTGGGATTTTTGGGTTCCCATTGGAATTTTTGGGTTCCCATCGGGATTTTGGGTTTCCCACTGGGATTTTTAAGGTTCCCATGGGGATTTTTGGGTTTCCCATCAGGATTTTGGTTTTCCCATCAGGATTTTTAAGGTTCCCGTGGGGATTTTCGGGTTCCCATTGGGATTTTTAAGGTTCCCATTGGGATTTTGGGGTTCCCATGGGGATTTTTGGGTTTCCCCTCGGGATTTTGGGGTTCCCATCAGGAGTTTTGGGTTTCCCATCAGGATTTTGGTTTTCCCATCGGGATTTTTAAGGCTCCCGTGGGGATTTTTGGGGTTCCCATCAGGATTTTTGGGGTTCCCAGCAGGATTTGGGCAGCCCCAGGGCAGGATGCCGTCGCAGCTGGAGCACGCCATGGAGACGCTGATGTTCACCTTCCACAAGTACGCGGGGGACAAGGAGCACCTGGCCAAGGAGGACCTCAGGGCGCTCATGGACAAGGAGTTCCCGGGGTTCCTGGAGGTGGGCACGGCCTCTGTGGGGTCCATGGGATCTATAGGATCCATGAGATGGCACCTGTGGGATCCATGGGATGGGATCCATGAGATGGCATCTATGGGATCCATGGGATGGGACAGGGGGAGCTAGAAAACCCCGGGATCAAACCCCCTAAACCTTGGGATGGGATCCCATAAGCCTTGGGATCAAACCAGACAGAACCCTGGGATTGGATCCCATAGAACTCTGGGATCAGACCCCATAAACCTTGGGATGGGATCCCATAAACCCTGGGATCAAACCCTGTAGACCCCCCGGACTGGATCCCATAGAACTCTGGGATCAGACCCCATAAACCCCAGGATGAAACCCCCTCAACCTTGGGATGGGATCCCATAAGCCTTGGGATCAAACCAGCCAGAACCCTGGGATTGGATCCCATAGAACTCTGGGATTAGATCCCATAAACCTTGGGATGGGATCCCATAAAACCTGGGATCAAACGCTGTAGAACACCAGGACTGGATCCCATAAATGCTGGGATTGGATTCCATAAAACCCTGGGATCAGATCCTGCGGGACGTGGAGCAGTGTGTGGGATCTGACCCCATTCCCATTTAGGATCTGACCCATTCCCATTTAGGATCTGACCCATTCCCATGTGGGATCTGACCCCATTCCCATTGAGGATCTGACCCCATTCCCATATAGGATCTGATCCTGTTCCCATGTGGGATCTGACCCTGTTCCCATTTAGGATCTGATCCATTTTTCCCCATTTTTCCCCCAGAACCAGCAGGACCCCAATGCCCTGGAGCGGATCCTGCAGGACATGGAGCAGTGTGTGGGATCTGACCCCATTCCCATTTAGGATCTGACCCATTCCCATTTAGGATCTGAC